TGATCCATGATTCTGTTAAAGACTGATTTTTTTTAAAACTTGGACTTATGCACTGTGGAGATGGTTGTTAGCAGTACCAGCTCTATCCAGGTTTGGGCCTTTAAATATTACTGTACCTGATGAATGTCCTATGCGGCAGTGTTAAGAAGCTAAGCTCATCACACCTTTCTGCACAAATAGAAATACGTGGAATGTCACAACTCAGAAACAGGTCTTTCCATCCAACTTGTGCTTGCCAGTGTTTATACTCCACACAAGCCCTCCCCACTCCTAAATCCCCTCTCCTATACCCCTCTGTTCCAATATAATAGTAATGATAATAATCCTTGCATTTGATATAGCCCCTTATTGCATCTTTGAGACTTCTCAAACCGTTTCACAGAACATAGTGTTGGAAAGTGAATTGACTGTGCATTTTGTAGGTGAAATGCGGCAGTGAATTGCGCACAGCAGTGTCCCATAAACAGTCGTGGATTGAGTCACCAAATTAATATTATGATTTTTTAAAAAACATTTGAGGATTACCCCCAGAAAAGCCATCAGCCAATCAACTAACAACTAGGTTCCTAATTACTGCTAGGTAAACAGAGGCGTGTGGAGTAAGGAAACTTTTATCTGGGGCGTTGTTGGCCAGGACACCCAGAGAGACTCTCTTCTCTTTTCAGATAGTGCCATGAGCTCTCTAAAACCTACGGAGTCCTGTAGCTCAGTGGTTAGAGCACTCGCTTTGCAAGTGAGAGACCCGAGTTCAATTCCAGGCAGGTCAGGGCGAAACCTTGGGCAAGTTTCCTTACTCCACACAGAGCCTAATAATCCCTCCAAAAACAAAAACAATAATAAATTGGTCATTTTCAATCTAGGACTGTTTGTGGGACATTGCTGTGCGCAATTGGCTGCCGCGTTCGCCCACAAATATACAGTCAATTCACTTTACAGTGTGTTCTGTGAAGCGCTTTGGGACGTCCTCCCGACGTGAAAAGCGCTATATCAAATGCAAGGATTATTATTATTATTACTTGAACAGGCAAACAGGATCTTGGTTTAATGTCTCATCTGAAGGACAGCACCTCTGACAATGCAGCGCTCACTCAGGACTGTATTGAAGTGTCAGATTCCTGACATGGGGCTTGTAACTCACAACTTTTTGACTCAGAGACCAGAAGTTCTTCTGACTGAGTCAGGCTGATACAAGATTCCAGTGTCAATATCCTGTAACTTTCAGTCAAATAATTTCTGGGCAGAGGGCTGTGAAGGACTCACTGGGTGCTCAATTCATTGCACGGTTTAAATTGAACGTCCCGGGTAGCGTACGTAGACTGGCGATGTTGTATTATCCTCTTGGTATTTGGTGTAGATATGAATTTTCTCCCCAGTCTCTGGTTCTCAGAATTGACTGCAATCGAAGAGAAACTGCAACTAATTTTTCTCCCAAGCCTTTTAATGCACTGTGCATTGTGATCTGGATGTTGGGAGTTGAGTGAGAGAGAACGGCCAGTAAGAACTCTGCCTCAGACTGCCCGCTCTGCCTCCGCGCTCTGCGGGGAAGTGCCTGACCTACAGCTTGATCTTTCTGAAAGCAGTGGGAGGTGCACTGCTGGGCCAGAGTTCAATACAAGTCTGGCGTTTGCACATCTTTGATTCAGCCCAGGGCTGTTTTCAAAGTCTATTTAAAATGAACGGTACAGGTTGCAGGACAATGAGGCAACAGCAGCAAGTTATAATCCTTGTGTTTGATTGGGAAGCTTTCACATCTTGTGAACATCTCCGAGCCCTTCTCAGGACTTTATAGCAAAGTTTAGTGACTGCTTTTAGGCAAACACAACACCTAATTTTCACACAAGTCCACTTCCAAGTCTTTGCTCAAGTCCACTACTTCCTACTGGTATTCACCAACTTTGCTCCAGCAATGCCCCATTGAAGACACTTGTTCCAAATGCATGTGAATATTTCATAAATTAAACTTTAATAAAAACATAACGTACCGACTCACACATGTACACAAACAAACGTTGGACGTTTCAATACCGAATACACTTGCACCATTTTGCTTGAGATAAAAAGTAACATTCAAGTGATAAGCAAAATACAAATCAATTTATGTCTTATTTTGCTTACAAAATATCTATATACATTCACTTTTTCACAAACATTAGCAGATTTGGAAATAAAAACATGTAGATTCAGCTCTGTAATGCTACACTGGGTAAATGTTGTTCTCCTTTTACCCAAATTACAGAAAGGCAGTCTGCGCACTACAAAGCTTTGATACTTAAGGCTTTTAATAACAGCATGTGTTATTTAGGGATTAGCCTTGTAACTTAGTTGAGGGCATTTAAGAAGCTTTAGTGCGTTCCCTGTATATTAGTATTTTTTCAACGTAACCCTACAAGGCAGCATTTACAGAGGAAGGGTGAAAATGTGATTATGTGATGTATCATTTTTTCACCTCTATATCACCAATACTGAACGGCCGCCTCCCATTTCCCTAGTTCTGCTTTAAACAAGTTCAGTCAGGTTGACTCTAGGTCCCCTGGTAAACACTATCAATTTGCCAAATAAAACCCCTCAGTCTGGTTTGGGAAATCATACTCCTAGTGCAGTGCTGGTTTTCTGCATGTGTCAGACCACCCGGCTGACCCACAAAACAACACCTGCCCAATTGACAGAAGATGGATTGATTTGCTTACTTCTCTCACTATTACCTGGTCCTTTCCAACTGCAAAGTCAGAAAATAAACCAATTATTTGCCAAGTGTGCAACTTTCATTGGACGACCTGGATTTCAACAGCAATACTTGAAGGTAAATTTAATTAATACTTTCTAATCTTGTTTCAAGAGACATTCTATCGCTAATTGCACTAATCTTATAATCCTCGCATTTGATATGGCACCTTTCACGTCTGGAGGACGTCTCTTCACAGGAATTTACTGTAATATGAAGTGACTATTTTGTAGGCAAACGCATCAGCCAATTTGTGCACAGCAATGTCCCACAAACTACCGTGAAGTCCGTGACCTAATTATTATCGTCAGGGGATGGAATTCTTGGCCCCAACACTGGGAGAAACCTTTTCAAGAGAAACTTTCAAATAGTCCCTGGGATTTTTAACATCCATCTGAAAAGGCAGATGGGACTCAGTTTAACATGTCGTCTGAAGGACGACACCTCCCAACAATACACCCTGAGCTCAGCAGTGCAGTGTCGGCTTAGACTACATGAGCTGGAAGTCTCCATGCGGGGACCTTCTGACTCAAGATGCGAGAATGCTACCAACCGAGCCAAGCTGACGCACACATAGCATGCCGAGCAATTATGATCATTTACTCATTTTCCCCAAGAGTAGCTTCGCTCACAAGACAGTTCAATGTGGTCTCGCATCAGTATATAAGCAAGCTTGCAAGCTGTCTCACCAGTGCCACCCACCACTTTTTTTTCCCCCGGTGAATTCTTGTTTCGGTCAGGCTCAGTTTATTGCTGAAGTCCTCGCTTCGGGATGAATAATGCGCAGTTCAGATTGCTGCCACTGGAAACCCCAAATGACGTCCTGGGACATTGTGATAACCATCCCGTGACTGTTACTGTGTCCCACGCAGAAGAATAAAACCTTTTTCTTTTTGTTGGAAGGAACTCTGGAAAACGATTACTTTGCGTGGGTGCGCGCGTGCGCTGCAAAGTGAAGCTTTGTGTTCCGAAACAAAACCCGCTAAAAAAGGGCATGGCTGGCCCCGTGTGCGCGTGGGTTGGGGTGACCATACGTCCCCGATTTCCCGCGTTGTTTGAGGTGTTGTATCCCTGGGGGCCACAATTTGCCCCGTCTTGAGTTCAGCAACGAACTGAGCGAGAAGAATGACAATAGCAATTCTAAAACAGATACTCATCAGAGAAAACACAGCCATTAAGTCCTCCGGCATCAGGAATTGCGGTGAGTTACCTTTGTAATATATATATATATAATTACAATACACCCTGAGTGTGTATAATTACACACACACACACACACACACACGTCCTCAGATTTGGTTTACAAAACATGATCATCCTGTGTGTGTGTGTGTGTGTGTGTGACAAAATACAGTCACCCTGGACAGTGTGTGGATGCGGCTGTGTGTGGGGTGTGTGTGTGTGGGGGGGGGGCTGTGGCTGTGTGTGTGTGGCTGTGTGTGTGTGGGGCTGTGTGTGTGTGTGTGTGTGGGGCTGTGTGTGTGTGTGTGTGGGGCTGTGTGTGTGTGTGTGTGGGGCTGTGTGTGTGTGTGGGGCTGTGTGTGTGTGTGTGGGGCTGTGTGTGTGTGTGGGGCTGTGTGTGTGTGGGGCTGTGTGTGTGTGTGTGTGGGGCTGTGTGTGTGTGTGGGGCTGTGTGTGTGTGGGGCTGTGTGTGTGTGTGTGGGGTTGTGTGTGTGTGTGGGGCTGTGTGTGTGTGTGTGTGTGTGTGGGGCTGTGTGTGTGTGTGGGGCTGTGTGTGTGGGGCTGTGTGTGGGGGCTGTGTGTGTGTGTGGGGCTGTGTGTGTGTGTGTGTGTGGGGGGGGCTGTGTGTGTGTGGGGGGGCTGTGTGTGTGTGTGGGGGGTGTGTGTGTGTGTTTGTGGGGTGTGTGTGTGTTTGTGGGGTGTGTGTGTGGGGGGGGGCTGTGGCTGTGTGTGTGGGGCTGTGTGTGTGTGTGGGGGGGGGGGGGGGCGGCTGTGTGTGTGTGTGTGTGGGGCTGTGTGTGTGTGTGTGTGTGTGGGGCTGTGTGTGTGTGTGTGTGTGTGTGTGTGTGTGTGGGGCTGTGTGTGTGTGTGTGTGTGTGTGTGGGGCTGTGTGTGTGTGTGTGGGGGGGGGGCTGTGTGTGTGTGTGTGTGGGGGGGGGCTGTGTGTGTGTGTGTGTGTGTGGGGCTGTGTGTGTGTGGGGGGCTGTGTGTGTGTGTGTGGCTGTGTGTGTGTGTGTGGCTGTGTGTGTGTGGGGGCTGTGTGTGTGTGTGTGGCTGTGTGTGTGTGTGTGGCTGTGTGTGTGTGTGGGGCTGTGGGTGTGTGTGTGTGTGTTTGTCAATGAAACAAACTTGAGGCCCCACACGGGCTCAGACACTGGTGTCGGTGTCTCCTCGCGGCTCGGCCCCGGCGTCGCGTTGGGCGTCTCTGCAGAAGAGCAGCGCCGGGTTCCTGCAGACCCACACGGCGGCCCCCTCCCCGGGGCTGGGCCAGGAGCCGGGCCGCTCGGGCCGGTACCGGCCCTTGTGTCTGTCCCGCCGCCCGGGGCCCAGGCTCCTGCCCTCCCCCCGGCGGCCCTGCCCCGGGCCCTCCGCGGGCAGATAGGCCGCCAGGTTCCCGGTCCTGTAGCCGCCCTCCCGGCCCCGGGCCCGGGCCCGGCCCAGCAGGAGGCAGATGTCGGGGTTCCTGGCGGCGTAGATGAGCGGGTTGATGGCACCGTTGGCCCAGGCCATCCAGGCGGCCACCGCGTCCACCACCGAGGCCGAGGCCGAGTCGTACCCACCGCCGCCGCCGCCCGATGGCTCAGCCTCGGCCGCCGACGACGACGACGCGGCCGCCGCCGCCGCGGCCCAGATCCCGGCCACACAGTAAGGGCCGCGGCAGCAGATGGCGAAGACGATCATCACGAGGACGGTGGTGGCGGTTCGCGTCTCGCCGTGTAATCGCGGCGGCGGCGGCGGCGGTGACCGGGCCCGAGCCTGGGCCTGGGCCTGGGCCTGGGTGTCGGCGAGAGGCCGCACCCGCCGCTCCGACAGCCGCGCCGCCTGGCAGATGTGGTAGTGACAGAAGCACATGAGGGCGAAGGGCAGCAGGTGGCCCAGAGCGATCAGGGCCACGCCGTACGAGAGGCCGAGGCGGGACGAGGCCGAGTGGAAGAGGTGAGTGCAGTGATAGAAGCCCCGCGGCTGGGCCTGAGCCTGGGCCTGGGCCTGGGGCTCGGGCTGGGCCCGGGGCCGGAGCAGCAGGTACCAGGGGCAGGAGAAGAGCGCGGCGGCCGCCCACACCCCCGCCAGCAGCCGAGCGGCCCGGCGGCGGCCGATTTTGCCGCGGGGCCGCCGGGCGATGGCGCAGTAACGGTCCAGGCTGATGAGGGCCATGGTCAGGGCGGAGGCGATGCCGGAGCAGGAGTTGAAGAAGCCGTTGGCCACGCACAACCGGTCGCCGAAGGGCCAAACGCCCCCCCCACCGGCATCGGCGCCCCCCCCACCGGCACCACCGGCGCCGCCGCCGCCGCGGCTGAAGAGCGTGAGGAAGGCGAAAGGCAGACACAGGAGCGCGGCCAACAGGTCCGACAGCGACAGCGACACGATGAAGGCGTTCGTGACGGTCCGCAGCTGCCGGTGTTTGGCGATCACGGCGATCACCGCCGAGTTGCCCAGACTGGAGAGCAGGAAGATCAGCAGCAGGACCAGAGCCTGCGAGGCCAGCGCCATGCCCTGCAGCGGGGAGCCGCCGCCACCGCCACCGCCATCTCCCCCGACAGCATCTCCCTGCGGCTGCCCCGAGCCGCCGCTCTGCTCACTCCCGGAGCCGCCGCCGCCGCTCTGCTCACTCCCGGAGCCGCCCGCCGCCGCTGCTGCTGCTTAAGGGGAATGCGGTAGAAAAATCCATCCGAGGAACGGAGGACTCATCCCTCTGACCTCCGCTTGTTGCCTCTTCTCTTTTTTTTGTTGGTGGCGCCGATTGCAGACACACACACACGCGGTGGCAAGTGCACAACAGCAACCGATCGATCGATCGATCGATCAATCAATCCTCGCATCTGATGTATATCAATCAGCGTAGGTCGGTCCCCCCCCAATGCAAAAGCACTCGACCCCCACAGTCGTTATCCTTTCCCTCCAGCGCGGAGCTGAACGAACTGCACCGTTCTCTGGCAGCGCTCGACCAGAATTGATAATTTTAATGTTTCTTTCTCTCCCTCTCTCCCCACCCCTCCCCGCATGTACTTTGGGGCTTGAGCAAAGCGTGACGTTTCCAGGCGTTGCTAAGGCACTTATATATATATATATATATATATTACGCACTTTCAACGTGATGCAAATAGTCGAGTTGGGGCAGGCAGTCTCACCGCTTACAGATGGAAGGGGAGGGTTGCAGCTCGTATCTCATCAACCGATACGTGTGTTTGTTGTTCAGCGAGAAAAGGCAGATAAAGGTAAGTAGCTTTTGGTGCATAAGTTATACATTAATGTAAACATTCAGCATTGGATGATAAACCACATCTATCTCTACACGGCAGGTAAATGGGATTGCTCCTGAGAGCCAGCAGACAAGATGGGGCAGATGATCTGTGCCGTGAATTGCTATTGGGGCTATGGTTTTTCTGACTCATTTAATAGCTCAAAAACTGCGTTTTGCCAACAGACGAAGAGTTGAAAAATGCAACGCTTCATTGCATTCAATGTGCTGATTATCACATAGAATCTATTAGAACAAATGCAGGTTGGTATGATGGTGTAACACGTTTTCCTTCGTTAATCAAATAAACCAAACCAAGTTGAAGTTTTCCTGTGGCGTTCATAGAAGTATCTCTCAACTGCTGACTGATCCGTCTAAAGTTTGTGTTTAAAAAAACGTTGGTGGGTACACTTAGAATGGGTCATCATTTGGGCCAACAGAGAAATGGGGAAATATTTGCCAAAAAATTGCGGGGAGTTAGTTGATCGGTGCTGTTGAGGTACATTTTACAACACAGAGAAAGAGAGACACACAAATACATCACTCACACAGACGACACAGACTCACATACAAACAATAGAGAGAAAAACACAGTAGCGAAGCGGGTCCTCCGAGCGGAGCGAAGTCGAATTTCCCGCTCGCCCTGAGCGGCTCCGCCCACAGCAGCGCGGGGGGGTCGTTCCTCCCAGGTCCGCTCCCCGCCGTTGACTTCAGCTGAAGTATTGGTGCCTGGTCTCTCGCAGGTCCGTGGCCCGCCCACAGTGACGTCGGGTGAACAAACAGCAGTGGACCAGGACCGGCAACGTCACAGCGGAGGCAGTTTATAAAGCATTCTGCGGAAAAATTGCGGCTGCACTTTTTCTATCGGCCCAAGTTCATCATCGACCCAACGAAGGTCATTAATAGCAAATCAAACTTTATTGGCCTAAGTAGAAGTCATTCAGCCGTTGGATTTTTGACTTATCTTCGCCTCCATGAAAAGGTATGTACGTGTGTCTGTCTCTCTATCGTTTGCTTCCATGAATACAAATTCATGTCTGCAGTTGGTGATTCAGGTTGAATTCAACACTAACAACAGCAGCGGTTTGTCCAAATAGAACTCGTTCTGCAGTAACCTGAGGCAGGTGGTGCTCAAAGCATTCCCTATTTACGCTCAGACAATCCAAAGTACTGAAAGGAAGAACAGTGAAACTATGCAAACTCCCTGTGTGTCAGCCTCCCCAACTCCTCTCCATAAGCTGCAGATCATCCAAGACTCTGCAGCCTGTGTCCTCTCCCACACCAGGCTCCACGACCCTATCACCTCCACACTCGCCCGACTCCCCATCCCCCAGAGGATAAGGTTCAAAATCCTCATCCTCACTTTCAAAGCCCTCCAAGGACTTCTCCCCCCTACCTCTGCGACCCAACCCCTTACCAACCCGTCCACTCCCTCCGCTCATCGGGCTCCGGCCTGTTTCATGTCCCCTGCCTCACCCACCCCACCATTGGTGGTCGTGCCTTTGGCCATTCTGCCTTCACCCTCTAGAACTCCATCCCGCAGTCCCTCCGCCTCGCTCCCTCACTTGCCTCCTTTGAGACCCGTCTCAAGACCCTCCTCATCGACCATGCCTTCGGTCACCATCCTTCCCTGCCCGCCCTCCATCCTCCCCGATCCCCAGCTTGGGTTCAAAACACTGACTGTATATTAAAGTGATTAATTTGATGATGGCTTCCTGTATTAAATAAAGCCCTAAGGTTTTGTGTTTGCATTTATTTCTGAATTATACAGATATTAAACAATGCATTTCTGAATTATAACACATGATTTTACATATAGCATTTCCAGTTAAACTGCCCAGATTTACAAAGTTAATGAAATCAGAATAGTTAATATAATTACAGAAAAATATAATTCATATACAGTACAAGTTTAATATTTAATTCAAAGGATGGCACCTGACAATGTGGTATATCCCAGCACTGCACTGCAGTGACAGCCTAGACTGTGAATTCAAAGTCCCAACATGGGGCTTGAACTCAAATCACATTATTCTATGTATAATAGATACTTGAAACATGTTATAATGATTTTAGAAAGCGATAAGAACATTACAACATTTTATTACATGTAATAAGGATTCAGATTTAATTTTTTTTAAGAAGTACTATGCTTAATTTGGTACAGAAAAAAACTGCAGCCTCTTATGTTGTTCCTTTCAAATTCTGTGTAAATATAGCAGTTGCATTATACCTTTACAGATAAAAAAGGTATTTGGTTACAGGTGAAATTATGTACCTCTAGGATACCCAAAATAAAATTGTAATTTAGCTTCATTCATGTCTAACATAGATCTCTAAAAATCATATGATTTAACCAATAATGAAAAATATACACAATGTAAAGTAAAATTAGTTGTAATAGCACCATCCATATTCTAGTGTATTTAAACGATAAATGATTAAGAAAACCTTTGAGAAATTGTCCTCAAGAAATTTTGCACAAAGAAATTCTAACAATGTTATCAGAATGAATGATTTTTGATAATAGCAATAAGATAACTATTTTGGATTTATCGAAGAAGAAACCCATCTTTCAGACTGTCATCACTTTCCGCATAATATTTTGCAGTTCCTGTATAATGTGCTTGTCCTGAAACTTCTACGATAACAGCTTTGAAATCGCCGCATTTTGCTTCCTGAAATTTTAATTTAAACTGTTATTGGTAGAAGTAATGGCTGTTATTCTCTGTATAAGTTATATGATAAAACACCGGTATTCCAGTGAGCAACATTAACATTATTTACCTCTACAGCTTTTCCTGTGAAGAATGAGTTTGTTGCACCACTCTGAAAAGTCCTGGTTTGGTTCAGTTGAATTAGTCCCTTGTGGTACTGCAGTGCAATACGAGCTGTTACACCCGAACCGCAGGGGCTTCTGTCAACCTGCTCAAGACACATTAAATAAGATATAAAATGACCCTTGTAAAAAAAAAATTTAAATTTGATTTGGCTTTTAAAGAATATTACCTTGTGATGGATGGTATGAATTTCTGTTTCATGGACAGTTTGAATGCTAATATGAACAACTGAATGTTTCCAAGTATTTAAAATTACCCACCTGAGCATCTGCAAAAACACAGATATTTGCTGTTGGTTCTCCAGAAAATGCATCTTTTCCATCAGTTAATATAGTACCATAGAGAAAGGCAAGATCTTCATCATCAGGGTGATGGAGTTTAACCTATATTAAAAAAATTGAGCAAAGTTTGACATTAATTGTTGGATTAACAGTTGCTATTAGCAAATTCTGGCAGACTAAGTATTCAGTTGCAAGCTATTTTCATAATTAACAAATTTCCGGAGTATACACACAAATCAACTGTTTGTAAAACCTGCTTGGCATGAAAACTGCTGATATATGAGTTAGATTGCTAGCAAATGAAATGGCATATTGACCCATTTTTTACATTATATATTTGTATTTGTTTTAACTTTGTTCTAGTTTCAAATAATTATTTTTAAAAATGGGCATCTAAAACCACAAGAAATTACAGGCAAGGTCCGCTTATTGGATCACCACTTATCATTTCAAGTAGAGGTTCATAATTCAATTTCTCACCTGTTCCTTCACAGCATTCGTCACAGCTGTTGCTGAATCCACAAGGTCCCTGGTCCTGGAGGAACAAACATCTAAACCGAAACGATCAGCACTCACAAACGCATAAAAGGCACCCCCATACCCAATATCCACCACCAGCTTCCCATGTCCTGGGACATCAATTGCAACATCTGCGAATAAAAGCAGACGCGTGTACAAAACCTACAGTTGCAAGGATTATTATTATGAATTGTCTTACGAATATCTTTCTACTTGTGAACGAAAAAAGGATGACACTTGCATCGCGCCTTTCACGTCGGGAGGACGTCCCAAGGCGCCGCCGGACAGTGTACAGCGTACGTTTCAGACCCGAGCTGGGGGTCAAATCCTTCCAACTCATTCAGGGCAGCCTCCAGCTGTCAGGGGGGGGGGGAGCAGTGACAAAGCAATAACGAACTTGCTGTTGTTTCGGAGTCAGAGCCCTGTTGAGCAAGTTGTTTTAGTTGTTGTTGTTGTTGTTGTTATTATTATTGTTAGCCCGCTTTTAGTTTGTGCAACCACTTTCCCTTCAAACGTGATACCCACATCCTGTTCCAACTTGTAAAAGACCGAAAAGAGAAATGGAGAAAAGAGTTTCTCCAGCAATCGGCCGGGAACAAACTGACCGTTCACTTCATGGTTGTCTGTGGGACGTGGCTGTGTGTGCTTCGCCCGCAAAGCACAGTCACTACGCTTTCACAGTAAAAGACATCGGCTGCTTGAACGTTACAGACGGTAACGTCAAATGCGAGGATTATGCAGATGTTCCTTTAAAGAGCCGCTGCCCTCTCCCCCGGGTACCTGTAGCGAAAGCGAAGGCAGGGACACTGTGGAACCGGACCCGGCCGCTCCTCCCGCCCCGGTACTCCACGAAAGCCCGGACCAGGCCGCAGGGGCAGTGGATGTTGACCTGGGTCTCGGGGGAGCTGGGCTCGGGGATGAGCCCGTAGTCCACGGCGTAGCGACCGAGCGCGATCACTGCGTGGCCGCACATGGTGCTGTAGCCCTGGTTGTGCATGAAGAGCACCCCGAGGTGGGCCTCGGGCCTCTCGGAGGCCACGGGCAGCGCCGCGTACATGTCATAGTGCCCGCGGGGCTCGAACAGCAGCAGCCGCCTCAGGTGGTCCAGGCGGTCGCGGACGTAGCGGCGTTTGGCCAGGATGTGGGCGCCGTGGACGGGCGGGAAGCCGCCGGTCACAATGCGCAGCGGCTCGCCGCCCGTGTGCATGTCCAGCACCGACAGCACCGGAGCGGCGCCGGGCTCCCCGCCGGCGTGAGGCACGTGTGACAGCCCGGGAGCGGCGCCGGGCTCCGCGCCGCCTGGAAGCAACGACATCGCGTGAGCCGCTTTCAAACGGCTTCAGCACCAACCGTCACCGCGCGAGGGCGGGGGGGGGGGGGGGGAGGAGGAGGAGGAGAGCGCGCGCGGCGTCACGTGACACCGCGACCTCTCGCGACAAGTAGTGGGAGGGGGGAGGGAGCCGTTGCCGCTGGAGGCTCGAGGATGGTTCGGCTTCTCGCCGCCGCCGTCGCCGCTCTTCTCGCCTCCGCAGCCGCTGATGGGCCTCTGGCGACCGGCCTGGTGCAGCAGGGCCGCCACCACAATACGGGTGATGAGAAGAAGCTTCACATTATTATTATTATTATTATTATTGTTTGTTGTTGTCACAGTGCACAGCGAACAGCGAGCGACTGCGTGTCTGGGTGCCAGCCCCGGAGTGCGGAGCGGTTGGTCCGGGTCGGGTGGAGGCTCTCCAGAGCAAACAGTAAATAACACAGTAATAATACTGCGGCGCACAGGAATAATAATGATGATGAGGAGGAGGAGGAGGAGAAGGGCGTCTCAAAGCGCTTCCTCAGGTCGCACTGTGAAGTGCTGTGACGTTTTATTGGGAGGACGTCCCAAGGCGCTGGACGGTCAGGGATTTGGACCCGAGCGGGTGGGGTGGGGTGGGGTGGGGTGGGGGGCGGTCGGGATCGGGGAGGGTTAGAGGGCAGGAGGGGGTCCCGGCTGAAGGCTCGGTCGGAGAGGAGGGGTTCGAGACGGGTCGGAAACGCCGATTGTCCAGCGCCTTGGGGGCGTCCTCCCGCCGCGAAAGGCGCTACACAAACGTACGGGCGGGCGGGGAGAGGGGGACGTGGAGCAGAGGGGGCGGGCAAGTTGATACGGGGCTCAGCAGGTCGCGGAGGGAGGGAGGGAGGGAGGGAGGGAGGGAAGGGCAAGGCCCGTGGAGGATTCTTGAAGGCCAGGACGAGGATTTTAAAACTCTTCTGGAGACTGGGGAGCCAGTGGAGTTGGGCGAGGGTGGGCGATGGGGTCACGGAGCCTGGTGTAGGAGGAGAGGACACAAGCTGTCAGGTTTGGGACGATCTGCAGCTTATGGAGGGAAGAGTTGGGAAGGCCGACGTGCAGGGAGTTGGCGTAGTCGAGCCTTGATGTAAGGAATATGGGTATGAGGGTTTCGGCGGCCCGTGTGGTGAGGCAGTGGCGGAATCGGGCGATGTTGTGGAGGTGGGGGAAGGCAGAGCGGGGGTCATGGCACGGTTGTGGGGTAGAAAGGACAGTTGAGGGTCAAACAAGATGCTGCTCAGGTTCCGGATTGGCTCTGTGAGGGTGGAGTGTGCATCCTGGGACGGTGGTGCTGTCAGTGCCTGAGGGTGTGGCGACGCTGACGGGAGCCAATCAAAATCTAATTGTTTTGACCGGTAAAAGTTTTCCGTGTGGTTGTCACTTTAGAAGGAAAGTTGTGTCAAGATTTTAATATAGAGCAAAGCTATCGATAAACGTGTGATATTGTAATGTGGTGATAGAAGCCCTCCTTCCCTGCAGTCGTTTCCCCTGTTTACCACAAATCCATTCACATTGATCCTGGCTTCTGATTGATGACAAAGGTGAGGTAGAGGTGAGAGTTTTGAATTAATGGATGCAAATACAACAGTGCTGAAGCTGTATTGCTTTAATTTGAGTTACATTTGATTTTGTACAAATAACAAGGCTATGTTTTGCAAAAAACTATTCTTACCTGAAACTGCCAGTTAAATTGTCTTAAAAATCATTTTAAAAAAAGGATCAGTTACATCAGCACTTTTTTTCATTGATATACAAATTGTCATCAAGCCTTATTCGTATAATCCCAACCACAGTCTACCTTGATGATTCTGTGGTTACGTCAGAGCTCAGCAGATGTTCCTGGTAATCTAACGAGAACAGCTTGCACATATAGTGCTTTTCATGTATGGTGAATGCCTCAAATTATTTCGCAGTGATGGTAGGCAACCTGAGCAGGAAAGAAAGGAGAAGAATTTTATGATGTTGACCAAAGCAAAGCATATTTCATTTTATATTTCAATTTAATTTAATCGTCATGAGGCAAATAGTAATAATAATCCTTACATTTCATATAGACCTTATCACGTTGTGAAAAAGTCTCAAAGAACTTCACAAGATAAACCGTAAAGTAGTGTGACTGTATTTATTGGGGTTGAATAACCATTTAATATAGAGGATTAGTGGGCTAAGACATCGAGAGAAACTCCCTTTTTTCAAATAGTTTCTTTAGTATCTTTAGCGTCCTCCTGAGGATGGGATACTTGTGTTTACTGAACATCTGGTTTCATAACCAATTGTTCACTATGCATTGAAAAACATTTGATTTGAATACATTTTAGTGTGAACAGTTGATGACAACCTTTTTTTAATTCAATTCCAGAATCTGAACCCATGTGCCCTGGATTGTACTGTGGAAAATCCATAACCAATAGGAATGGAAGTCAACTGCAGTACGGAGAATGTGGGGTAAGTTCCCAGTGTGTCTTTCACAGTTCTTGCATAGAGCAGATCAGATAAGATTTTATGGCAATTACAGAGGCAGTGACCAAAAACAGTTGTTCCGGGACACCAATCTGGGCCTAGCCCACATATTGTATCATGTCTTCATCTCCCAAGTTGTAAATTATTTGTTTAGTAGCGCAAATTATTAGAGCCAAATATCTAGGCTGTCAATTATACTGATTTATATTTGAAATGTATATAAATTCTACAATACATCTATACACCACCTGTTTTCATTGAACACCCATCTGAACCCAGTCTATCTTGTTTCTGAATATGATTCTTTAAAAAAGTGAGCACTAGAGTGGACTTCTGGCAGTCAGTGTGACACATTTCCTAAACTACCCTCAATAGGAACGACTAAGTAGAACATTTATTTTGAGAGTTTTGAAACAAAAAGCAGTAAAACAAAGAAAATTATAGAGCTAATGCCTCCTCGTGGCATTCATGTCTGGACTCGTGAGGAATAGACACTGGGCATGTTACTAAAGGGCGATCTGTGCCTGTGAAATTCTACTCCAGCAAGAGTCAATGTTTATTTTTTGGGGGCGGGGGGATGTATGTATCTTCTATATGGATGTGACACCAGTTCTAATACAGTATAAAAATCTTTCTATTAGGTCTGCCCAAGAGGGGAAAGAACAAATAACAGCAAGATTTGTGATAAATGTAATGAATCACCAGACCTCTATGACTGGCTTTATTTGGGCTTCATGGCAATGCTGCCTCTGGTTTTGCACTGGTTTTTTATTGAATGGTATTCAGGCAAAAAGAGGTAAGAGCTATCATCGTAGAAGAATTTGCATGAATGTAAAGTGGTTTGTGTTAATGCATATAGTATGTTAGAGACCCTAAAAGGTTTTAAAGGCTTGCAGCACCATTATTGTTTTTTTAAGATTGTCAGAAGCTAGATTTTAAAGTAACTAATTATTTTCAGTTAATTGAAGGGAGAATGGTGGAATAATAATAAAAATAATAATAATAAATAATAAGATGTTGCATGGTTAGACATTGCAAGATACATTTAATACCTTTTCTCTTGTATAGTTCTAGTGCATTTTTTCAGCATGTGACTGCATTATTGGAGTGCAGTGCTGCTGCTATTGTTACATTGCTGGTGAATGATCCAGTTGGAGAGCTGAAAATTCGATCCTGCCGTGTGAAGATGCTGTCAGACTGGTACACAATGCTTTACAATCCCAGTCCAGATTATATCAACACATTGCATTGCACTCAGGAAGCAGTATTTCCTTTGTAAGTATTTTAATTTCAATAGAAAAGTGTATTGTTTGCTCTTCGGGAAATTACTTTTCACATGCTAACCTGACTTTCAGAGCATTTATATGCCATTCACCAGTAGAAAATAACAACAACTTGCATTTATATAGCGCCCCTCACGCAGGGTAGCATCCCAGAGCGCTTACAGTGGCGGAGCACAATGCCGACCTGGGGGAAGGTGACGTTAGGCACGGTTGAAGAAGAAGATCTTCAGGCACGATCTGAAGAAGGGTAGGAAGGGCGGAGGGATAGAAGAAGAGTGTTCCAGAGTTTCGGGGCGTAGTGGCTGCAAGTGCGGCCACTGAGGTTGGAACGAAGGGCATGAGGGACATGCAGGAGGCCAGAGTTAGTTGAGTGGAGGCAGCAGGTAGTGGGTTGGGGAGTAAGCAGGTCAGAGAAAGTAGGGAGGTGCCAGGGCATGAAAGGATTTAAAAACGAATGTGAGGATTTTAAAATTGATAAATCCCAAAATGCTGAGAATGCACAGCAGACTACCAACACCTGAAAGAGAAAGATAGGCTAAGATTTTAGATGGGATAAGGTTTTTAAAGACGAGTTAAGTTTTTTTTAAAAGTTGAGATAAAGTTATTTAAAGATGCATTAAGATTTCTTTAAAGATGAGTTAAGGTTTTTTGGGTGTGCCCCATCAGAAGGGGGTCAGTAAATTGCCATTTTTAATTGGGTTTCTTGTTGCTGATCAATATTATTGATTGTTCTGACACTCTTTTTCTGTTTTTTTCAGATACACAATCGTGTTCATATACTATGCTTTTTGCTTGGTTTTTATGATGTTGCTTCGTCCACTGCTGGTTAAGAAGATTGCTTGTGGTCTCGGGAAGTCTGACCGATTTAAAAGTATTTATGCAGCCCTTTACTTTTTCCCCATTCTTACAGTGCTTCAGGCAGTTGGTGGCGGCTTGCTTTGTAAGTACATTTTTCTATGTTTTTTTTAAAATACTGCCTTCTCCAAGAAAAGTTTTGTTACGATGGAATTCACTTGAATTAATTTGTGAAACATGGCGTAAGATTTTTTTTAAGCTAACTTCGTTTCATTTCTTAGCCAATTTCCACTTTTGATTCAAAAGCTACGCCTTTGTCAGCAGAGGATGCGATGGTCGAAGTTGGAGTGAGTTTTGTAGAGCACTGCCAATGCTTTCCCCTCAGTCAGGCTGTGTGCCTGTTGAGCTTTATGGGAAAGGAATCGGCTTAGGTTAGTTTCCTTGCCCTCCTTGTCACAAGACCTTCCTCGCTGGAGCAGGCTGAGACTTCACCCAAACTTGGGAGCACTGGACTCTGTTCATATCGGTTGTCACATAGTACTGTTTCTTTTTAATTGAAATATCTCGAAGATGTGATAAGAGGGTATATCAAATGCAAATATTATATAAGAAAATATATTTGCAAGTTGAAACTTACAGGTTTGAAAAATTGCTATTTATTACTCATTGTAAAAAAAAATGGTTTTTGATAGTTACTTGGTATTCAATGTTTTTTCTATCGTTTTAGATTATGCCTTTCCGTATATAATCCTAGTCTTGTCCCTGGTTACTTTGGCAGTCTACATGTCTGCTTCAGAAATACAGGTAAGACCAAAAGAATATTTCTCAGAACACAGATATTCTGTAGTTAAAGGTATTAATTGCACAAGTGATTTTTTTTGCTGCTCAATGAGGATCATTGGAGTAGATGAGCAAAAAGAACTAATGAAGTTAGACACCAAAGTTGTATAATTATCAAATGCTGATGAAAATAGAATGCATGCTTTGTTTAAAAAGTTACATGAACAAATAACATTTATTTAGGTTATGATTATCATGAGGTGCAGTCTACATTCCTTTTTTTGAGTGGTGAAATCTCATGGAGCTTTGTGGAGCTATAGCAAAGCTCCATAAAGCCCACTCCTACCCTCTCTGCCCTCCCTCATCCCAACCCTGTCCCCCACATTTGGGTTCTGATCTGTCTGTTGGGACGTCCTCCCGACGTGAAAGATGCTTTACAAATGTAATTTTGTTGTTGTTATAACGGGTTAGATACAGAGCTGTATTTTTATAACTATGGCTTTAAATTCACCTCAGATTTGTAAAATTCCTCAATTGCCCCAATCACAATAGCTGAGCTGTGGTAAAATAGTGACCAACTATTGTGAAATAATGTGTCACAACATTCTCTTATCACGTCCAGTTTCTTTGCAAAATGTAACATTGAGCCATGTCAAATTATATCAGTAGCATGTCAGGCACCTATGTTTTGTTCATATAAAATGTGCTTTATGATTTATTTCTGTTCAATTTAAAAAAAAGACATACAAGGATCTGTTCACCAAAAAGAAGAGGTTGGTTGTCCTGTTCAGCCACTGGATCCTGCATGCCTATGGAATCATCTCCATCTCCAGACTCGATAAACTAGACCAAGATCTGCCCTTGTTAGCTTTAGTGCCAACTCCAGCACTTTTCTACCTGCTGACTGCTAAATATACGGAGCCTTCACGGATTCTGTCAGAAGGTGGAAATGGACATTAAATAATTCAAAAATAGTGAACAAACATTGAACAAAGTTTTTGTTTAAAAAGTTTCAGCTTGATCGGAATGATTTTTCGGTGCTTGTTGTGCTGGAAGGGAAAATGTTGTGAGTACATTTTTTTCTTTATATTCACGAGTTGTGCTGTCCATGTGGTTCAAACAAAATGACATGAAAAATGGATAAAATTGAAAGTTTTTATTGAAACATCACCATTCCTGAAAATAAGTGGAAATTGCTGCAATCTTAGTTGTCACCTTATCGTTGCTAGAAATGTGAATAATGTTAGTTTTGTCGTTGTTTACCTGTGAAGAAAAAAAGAGGTAAAAGATTAAAATATGCTTTTGTTCTAATCTTGCTCAGATTCTCCAGATGTCTGCATTTATATTCGAAAAGTATGAGTTTAATGGTGGAATTTTACATCACAGTAGGCAGAGAGGGCCTTTGCTGGCTCTCTGAAGTCTTGTTAGCCCAATTTCCCTGTCTTTTCAACCTAACCTTTTATATTTCTGTCTATAATAGTTTTGTCTTATTTCTTTTTAAATGTCAATATGGATTCTGCTTCAACAACTGTTTTGGTGACATAATAGCTCTTTAAAATGAATGCATTAAAAAGTATTATTTTGAAATGATTATTTCCTGACTGACAGAGAAACTTGGCATTGTGAATACAGTCCCAATTTCCCAACAAAATGATGTATTTAGCTTAGAATCACAAAAAATCCCAAGTTAGTCAGATGTGTCTAGATAGAATACAGAGATCCTTTCGTCATTGTTGCTATCTAGAAGTAGCCAAGTAACTTCAAAATTTGCATAAAATTACATTGAATTTACTGGTGAGGTTTTCTTACCTTTTATCAGCTCACTGCTGTGGCTTGAATTATTTCAGCAGACATTTTTGCTTTGAAATTTCTATGATTCAAAAAAAACCAAATTGATTCAAGTGAGAAAGTAATTTTAAAACAAAAGATGTGAAATATTGCAGAGCTTTAAGCGTACCTGAACTCTCTGCACTTTCCACAAAAGCTACTATCCTACTCAGATGCTCCTGGAGTCCTTCATTAATCCTTCCCACGGTCCGTTCTCGGTATTGGATTTTCAATATTAAGTCCTTTATACTGTTCAAGGTACTGTGGTCAGACTCTGAATATTCCTGAGAAAGTGGAAAGATCAACAGCATTCATTTATGGACAACATTGTGTGTGTGTTTACATAAAGCTGTCACAGATACATCTTATTATTGTCAACATTCATGGGTTATAACTTACCTCTTCAATACTCGTATCACCTGCCCAGGTGTTTATGAGATTTTCTAAAACAAATAAGAAAATATATCACTATTAGTGTAGCAGTGTTACACAGATTTAACTGTTTTTATATTTATTACTTCACATAAAATATGGAGAACGGTTTGCATTCTAAAGTTTCATTGGTGTTCAGTGATTTAATAATCCTTGCATTTGATATAGCGCTTTTCACGTCTTCTATACATCTCAAAGTGCTTCACAGAATATGCTGTAAAATGAATTGACCATGTATTTGGGTGAATTTTGTAAAAATGCACATTTCACCAAAAACTCACCAAAAGGGGTGAGATTTTCTGCTGGTCTATAATGTAACCTATTAAAAACAGTATCCTTATTTCTGTTTGGATTGTTGAGTGTTAAGAGTCAGCTCACATGTTGCAAATAGCATAAGACACATTGCCTTAAGGCCTTTTAACATGGGCAATACAGTGGGCTTTATTCATTTGAGAAATGTAAGATTTTTTTGTTGTACATACCAAAGATATGATTGACAGCTTCCTTCTGTTTGTTCATTTCTGCTCTTTGATTACTTCCTTCTTTTTTTAGTGACTGGATACTGTTCAGCTCTTTTTCAATGCACTGCCAAGTCAGAGAGAAAAAAAGTACTTGCGTTAGCTTTAAACTTCTAACGTTACCCATTCTGACCCAGCTGACTCTAACACTCAACAATCCCCATTCGGTATCTCTTTGGATTGGGATGTTGCTCACAATTGGAATATTTAGTGCATTTTGACAGTGGGCCTAATGTGTGCCATTAGACCCACTAAAGATCCTAAAGATCTGCAAATTTAGTGAAAGAGAATGAAAGCAGCGTAATAGATGTTTTATTGCCCACCTTTCAATGTTTTGACCTTCAGAGATTTACAACCAGTATTTTCTGCCCTGGCGATGGTCATGAATGAGGACTATGTGGCATCACTTGTTTTCGAATCCCTTCACTCCCTGGCACTTCCCTACCTCTCCGACTTCCTCGCTCCCCAATCGACCACCTGGCACCTCCGCTCGACTGGCAGTGGCCTCCTGCTTGTTCATCACGCTCTCCACTCCATCATTGAAGGTCGTGCATTCCACCCCCGAAACTATGGAACACTCTCCTCCCTCAATCCCTCTGCCTTGCTCCCTCCTTTTTCAAATCCTGTCTGAAAACCTTCCTTTTCGACTGTGCTACCCCTGGAGGATACACCCTGCTTGCCTAATGCTGGAGAGCGTTAGACGCAGGTTGGCAAGACCAAAGGCTTGGGGACTCCCCACACATGAATTGGCGTATTGCTCAAGTTTAACCAGCTAAAAGCCCATGGTTTTCCATTGATAGTTTGCAGTTCTTGTTCTATTACGACTGAATTACAGCCGTGAAAAACAGCAAGAAATAAGTAGCTCTTCACTCACATTTTTCAATCTGCAGTTTTCGATTGTAAAGAATTCCAGTTTTCTGCCTATCTCGTATAGTTCTCCTTCGACTTGTCTTGTAAGCAATGAATTGTTACCCATTTCCCAGATCTGGGTGTTCCTGCTTTCAGTCAATTTAGTTTTTAGTTCTGGCTGGGGAAAGAGATGAACCAGTTTGACACTGATGTCCATTTGTAAATATATATGATATATATGAGACACCTGGGTTCAATCCCAGGCAGGGCGAAACCTTGGGCAAGTTTCCTTGCTCCACACGCCTAATAATAATCCCTCCAAAACAAAAATCAATAATAAATTGGTCATTTTCAATCCATGACTGTTTGTGGGACACTGCTGTGCACAATTGGCTGCTGCGTTTCGCCCACAAATATACAGTCAATTCACTTTACAGTATATTCTGTGAAGCGCTTTGAGACGTCTAGAAGACATGAAAAGCGCTATATCAAATGCAACGATTATTATTATGATATATCCAGTTATCACCGGTATTTATTTTTCAGTTCTCTCTCTCACTTGCACACACTTTTAAATATTTATGATGATTGTAATTACAGTAACTAAATGTTCTAACAACTTCATTAAATCCCTATTATAAACTCACACAGGTTTGTGGATGTCTGGATCAGATGAAAATATGACATTAACATCCACTAAGGTCTGTAAATTTACAGATGACCAGAGGATTACGCCTTTGCCTAAGTAACTTGACTTTTGATGGGTAGAGAGAGGCCAGAACAACTGCAAATCCTTTTAGCTGTAATGTATCCTGCGAGTGTCAAGCTTGCAACATAATGAATACAATGTAATATGAATTTTATTTCTACATTGTGCTGCTTTGGCAAATATGCAATAAAATTGACCAAACACTTAACAAGGACAAAAGTGTAGCAATGCTGTTATGTTCTCAACAATAAATGTGTGGAAAACTTTTATTCTCAGCTCACAAGTTACAAATCAAATAATCCAACCAAAACCCTCTCGTCAGTTCTCCCTACTTCCTGCTTTTCTACCTCCTGATCCCCTTTAATTGGTCCTTATTTCCTTAAAGGATATCCAACAAATACAACCGATTATTTAAACAAGGTGAGAAACGTTTGTATATTGCTTAATGGAGAAGTGTGGACAATGTTGTTAGTTGTAAAATGCTCTTGGGCATTGCATATAGAAAGTTCTCTGAGACATCACCTGACATAAATGATGCTGTATAAATGTAAGTTGTGTCTTTAAAATCAGGGGGAAAGAGATGTTACCAAAAATCTATTTGAGCAGCATTTGGCTTATCCATTAAGATCATATGCATTTTGAAGGTTAGATATGGGAAGCCCATAATTCTACATAGTCTGTGCAGAAATGTGGAAATTTAAAAATTCAAACAAGGTCAATATAGCTGACTTCCAGTTCACAAGTTGCTGCTGAAGTCACTGAATGTGGACGTGATACCTGGAAGTATTCAATCCATGCTCAAATCTTACCTTTGTCTTCTCAAGAATGACTATTTTCTTGTTTAAGTCTCTGATGGTGCTCAGAAGACTATTTGCCTCAGATTCCTTGTCTGTAAGTAAGAGAAATTATTTTTAATTATAATCGGTTGTGCCGTCTGTTATAATCGGTGCGAAAATGAACATAATTTTAGACAGCATTACAAAATTCATGTATTGTGTTAGGACACTGAAGGCCACTTTTTTTCGTGACAAACACTACTAGTAATGATTTTAACAATAAATAAACATTAGGGTCACCTTCACTCCCTTTAAGTTGCTGACATTAAAAACATGCTGGCTATCTTGTTGGTTCTTTCCTAATTGCTGCATTTGTACTGTGTGTCTGATGGAGAATCAGCATGTTTCTTGTTGCAGTGCAGGAAATACCAACTGAGGCTCAGACATTTCAATTCCCTTTGTTTCTGACACTCACTTGCAGAAGCAATTTGATTCACACCTTTCACACTCCATTTGGAGCAACTTTCAAAAAAACTTGTTTTTTGACAGGTTGAAAAGCATTTGGGGGATTTATTATGTAAGAGTTGTACAGTATTTCCCTGCTTCCTTAAGTTGAGAAACAGTTTGATCATATCAGAAATGTGTCATAGGCTGTGGGGGGAGTGTTACGCAGAGGGGGGAAGGGGATAAATTGGAGGGAAAGCCACACTATAATCATTTTATATAATATCAACAATGGAAGGCACCTCCAATAATACAACACACACCCCAAGCACCACACTGAAGTGTCCGCCAAGACTGATTTCAAAGTCCTGATGTGTGGCTTGATCACACAACCCTCTAACTCAGAGGCAAGAGTGCTAACAGCTGAGCCATTGTGACATACAAAGTATTTGCAAGTAATCTCAAACACAAGCTCAAATTTACAGTACCTGCAGCATCTAATTTATTTCCGTCAGACAGCTGCTTTGCTAAGGTATGTTTGTTCTCTATATCAACAAGCTTTGGGTGATGGATGATTAGTTCCTCATTTGCATTCTGTAAGCTTATTTTTACGTTCATATATTCCCTCTTTTGAGAAAAAGAAATAAAGAATAATCATTGCACATCTGTCTGAATACCTTGCTGATGAATTCATTAAACTGAGCTAGTGCCTTATCACAATGTTGAGATGTCTCAAAACTCTTCACAGGATTTTACTTTGTTTTAATCAACATGTATGAAATAACAAATTAAAGTGTAAACTACATTTAAAATAAAATTTACGTTAATTAAAAAACATGGTTGATGTGACAGCTGGCATTTAAACCACTCACAAATCATGTCAAATGAGTAAAGAACATTTTACCTTCAATCGGTCAATCGCAGTTGACAAAGAATCTTCTGTCTTTTTGAGCAATGTGTCTTCCAATGTAACTTGTTGCTTAAGAAGCTCATTCTTTTCAGTGTAAGCAACAATTTCAACCTGTAGTACCCTACCCTGGTTTTAAGAGTGAAAGATCATTTAATGCATGGTGATTTATTAAATGAACGATAGTTTATTAGTTGATTTAAGTCACTAGCAAAGATTTGTTTAGCTATGAATAGAATGTGTTGAGAATGTCCTATCTTCTCATTTCAGTATCATTTATGTCAACCAATAACAAAACATCATACCCTCTCAGCTAATTCATTACGTCTCCTCTTCATTTTATTCATATATATACTCATTTCCTTCAAGAATAATTCAATGGATATTTTGGTGTCAATAAGATCAGCTAGTATTTCATCCAACCTATGCTGGACAAACAATCTATGTTTGGCAAAAAAAACAGTATGAATTGAAATTCGGTAATAGAAACATACAAAAAAAATATTTTTCTTGAGTAAAATAAAATGATGCTAAATGATAAGGTAAATAACAGTGTG